ATTTTGGGATCTTCACTATAGCTTTCATAACACCGGCCCCATCTGGGATCTCTGCAGACCTAATCACAGATCAGAAAGGGCACTTATTTTGATTGTTTCAATGTACTCTGAGCTGCATAACAATTAATGGATCACAGAAAGAGTTAAATTACCGCAATGCATGGTGCAAAAGCATATTGAATGCCTGTAGCTCTCACTTCAAGGGCAGTTGCAGCTCCAATCTTCTTCACCAGTGCAGGGTCCCTGCTCAAGCGGGTAACTCAAAGAGTTTAATTGCCACATTCAATTAAAGATTCAATATTGAGAAGAGGGTAAATTCCATTTTATCCCCTTAAACTATGCCCAAAATCTCACTATAGTCCCTAAACTTTAAAATGGGACATTTAAATCCTTAAACTATATAATCCGTCCCACTTTACTCCAAATTTTGACGAAATACACAAAATCTAACAGAATAGTTGCCAATTCATTTAGGTTATAATTATAATTTAATTTAATCAAATCTAATAGGGACATAAATATAATTTAATGAGACCCAATATAAAAAAAACAAAGAGTCAGAGAGATAAAGATAATTTTACCTCTTTAATTAATAATAATTAAAGTTTTTTCCCTTTTTTAATCGAAAAGCCATGTTTTTAAACTTTACTTTTCTTTTTTTTTTCCACCTTTTTTTCTATTTTCCTTTCATTTCCTTTTCTATTTTTTCCTTTCTTTCTTCACTACCTTCTTCCTCCATTACCGCACATCAACCACTGCTACACATCATCTACCTTTTCTCTTGCCATCATCATCCGCCACGTTTTACTACTTCATTCTCCTCCCGATGATGAATCCAAAAATATGATGTTTATCACAGAAGAAATCACAAAATGTTTGCCATACCAATACATCACCATTTGTACTTATCACAACCTGTAACTTGTTTCTTGTCTCCTTTTTGAATAGCCGCCCCACCCAATTTCTTATCCCCTCTTCTCCATTCACCTAATTTCATATCACAACGTTGTAGGAGCATTTTTTTATGTTGTAACGGAAATAATGTAAATGATTTGTTCAAGAAAAGAATACTGCAAACAAATTTGAGATTTCTTGAAAACCAATTTTACAAATACCAACTGAATTTAAACCCAGAAATCTAGAAACATATTTTGAGAGAAGGAGAGAAAAAGAAAAGAACGAAAGACCATCGAGAAAATGGGTCAATCCTGTTTGATTTGTTTCCCACCAGCCAAATCACAGAATACAAATTTCCTCAAGAGGAAAGTTGTGAGATAAATAAAATAATATTTTCCTCCAACCTATTAGCTCTGAGCGTACCTGACCCGGCTTTTGAGTCTCGGCTCCGAGACAAAGCCTACCTCGAAATCCTCGACCAACACACCTCCGACCTCCATCGTCTTTCCACCTCCACTTCCGTAGCACGATCCACCCCCTCTTCCTCCTCCTCCAACACCACCGCCACCACCATCCCTTATGGCCTCGTTATCTCCCTCTTTTCCCACTCAAAATTCTTTGTTGATATTGATTTGGTTTCTGATATTTAAAATTTTTTTTCGTGATTATATTATAATAATTAACAAATGGAGGGCTGCGAGTCAAGGGTATGATCAGAGCTTCTGGTGGCAAACGGTGGTAGTGGGTGGCATGGGCGGTGTGTGGCTGGGATGAAGGGAGAGATAGGGAGGAAGAGAAAGAAGGTGAATGAATAATTTTTAAAAATTTGGAGTGTATCAAAAGCTTTGGATTTCATGAAATTACACTTATGTCCCTGTTGGATTTGGTTAACTTTAGTTATAATAATAACTAACAGAATTGGCAAATATTCTATTTGGTTTTGTGCATTCTGTTAAAAATTGGAGTAAGGCGGACATGTTTATAGTTTAAGGATTTAAATATCTCATTTTGAAGTTTAGGGATTAAAATGAGATTTTGCTTATAGTTTGAGGGGATAAAGTGGAATTTACCCTCGAAAAGATAGATATCAAATGATGCCAAAAAGAGCCGTATCCCTCCCCGCTAAATCCCTCCCCGTCCTTCTCCCCAAGACAAGAACTTCAGCTGCAGCTTTTTCATAAAACAACAAACAAAATGGTGGACTTCAGCTACTACAATACAAGAGTGCGTTTTGGAGTACTCTCCAAATTATAAGCAAATAACTCACGTCAAATAATTGTAATACGAACTACTAGCCACATAAAAAATGGTCGTAATCAAAGGAGATGTGGATTAATCATCGTCATCTAGAAACTTAATCACAGCCAAATGGTCGTGCAGACTTACCTAGTGGCTCCAAGACCAATATTATGAGGAAAAACGGTAGCCTTGTAGACAGTGTTGTGGCCATGAACAGCGTCAATCCCATAAATCATTGGTATCCCAAGACGCGTAGACAATGAACCCTTTTGGAAATCGTTTACCATGTCCACCCATGTCTCCGGCGAAGCCTGCTTAGCTGGAACACTCCCTCCACCACTCAGTACACTCCCTGCAAATAACTGACATTTTAATCCCAGAAAAAGAAAAACGACAACACATAACGAGCTCTTCTAATTAACTGCAAAAATCAGTTTTTTCAAAGTGCAGATTATTGATGCATACCAATGTAGTACTTTTTCATGATCTCTCTGGATGCGATACTACGATCTATCTGCACCATTTGGCCAATTTTCTCCTCTAAGGTCATCCTGCTCAATAAATCCTTAATTCTAGTATTTAAGGGCTGTTTGGGATCCTTATAAGGCAAGTACTCTGCTTCTGCTTTCATGGCTGCACAGATGCAGAACAATGCGATCCCAAAAGCCAGTAAGGAACCCTTTGCCATCTTGAGCCTCAGCATTACCTTCAACAGACAAAAGAGAACAGAAAATTCTATTAGATTCCAAGCATCCCATCAATAAATCTCACTGATGTAAACCGTGGCTTTGGAAAACGTTTAGACAACTGAAGTACAAGGAAGCAGCATTTTCCCAAATTTTGCCGTTTTAAATCTGGAGATGAACTATTCAAGTATTTGGAAGAGCAATTATTGGACAGGAGAATATCTTGGACAGTGGACACACGAAACATGAAACGTGAACATGTATGTCCATGCGTTTGTTTGACGAAATGGACTTGTTAAAAAAGCGAAGACGAGTAAAAAAGGAAATCTTGGGAAAGTATAAAATTATCAATGTAACACTATGATAGTTAGGAAAATCAAGATAAACTATCAAGAATCTTGAAAAAGGAACCAAAAAGTCCCTCTAAAAAAAATGGAACCAAAAAGTTTTATCTGAACGTATGAGATGCCCAGGAAAACAGTCCAATGCTATTAAAGAATCAGAGCCTACTATCACCGATAGCCACTGAGTGGTGGTCTATGGCTGCCGATTTAAGGTAGGGATGTAACTTACAGAGGATGCAGCCAAAATTGCACCCCAGCACACCAACTACTACTATGCTTTTAGTAGTACAGTGTTTCTTTGTCGCTGAGAGAGAGAGAGAGAGAGAGAGAGAGAGAGAGAGAGAGAGAGTACACAGCTGCAGATGAAATGGGATGTAGAGGGATGCCATTTATAGAAAAACGTTCTGTCATTTAATTGGCTTGGTTACCCATTGATGCGGATATGCCCTCCATATTGTGCTGTAAAAGTCTGATATTAAGTTTGATGGAGTTTTTTGCCAAAATAACACTATGTTATTGTTGCCACCTAATTTATAGTTTCCAAAATGAATTAAAAATTTAAAATTTTTTTTATTATAGAGGAACAAGAAGATTGCATAACTTTTATAATTTCCTTATAATTATTTAACATAAATTCTGCCATTATTGACCTTGCTATTATTGGTTTCTGAATTTCTTAAAATGAATCAAACCTATTGCATATATTTTTTCAAAAAAAAAATTAAAAAATACAAAAATTGCAACAAAAATTTCAATAAAAATTGTAAGCAATTACAAATACTTCAAGGTGATCATATTTGTTTATGTTACCCTTCCTACTTCTTAAAAAGACAAGAGAATAATTTTTATCTGCCTTGAGATTATCGATTTGAGAAGCATATTTTTTAGGTGTTGTTAATATAAATATTGGCTTCTTAGGATTATGTTTGACAAAGGAAAAATAATTAAACAAAAAAATGCGAGAAGGTTTAGAAAAAAATTGGAGAAGACATTATATGGGAAAGAGAAATGAAATATGCCTTTATCTCCATCCTAGGACATATGCAGCTTAAGTGGCAAAAAAAGGATCATAAAAATAATAAAATTTAAAATTAGGTTACTTTGAGTATATGTTTTGGAAGACGAGTTATTTTGGCAATAAACTCAAGTTTGATGCTAGGGTACTGAAATGCTGGTCCACGTACACTGCAGCCCCAAGTGAAGACAGTAATGGAACTTTGACGTTTTTGTAAGGTAGGGGATTCAAACTAGTAATAAGTTAATGTAAAAATAATTCAAAACGTATCTCATATTTTATTAAACAATTTTTTTCTCAATTTTAAAATATTAATTTTGCATTTTTATCAATATTTAGTTTCAACCTAAATTTTCAATTATCTTTTAGTCTAAATTCATCACGTGATCCACATACAGTTATTTTTATATACAAAAATGTTAGATCCCACTTTCTTTGTAGCAAAAAAATATAGATTAGCTCAGATCTTATTTTTTTGAAAAAAAATAAAAATGATTCAAGTCAAATCCTATTTTTTTTGAAGCAAAATTGAATATGGATTAGGCCATTTGTTTAATTACAAATGAGATCTAATCTTTTTGCCCCTTAAAAAATGACTATATGTGAATCATGTGATGAATTCAAGATGAAAAATGGTCGAAAACTTAGATTTGAATCAAATTTTATCAATTTGATTTTATAAGGATGTAAAATTAATATTTTTAAAGCGAATGATTAAAAAAATCATTTGACAAAATGTGAGAGACATTTTAAATAATTTTCCCATAACTGATTTACTTCTCTCAGTAACTGCTCTATCTTGTACTCTCTCCTTTTTTCTTTTTTTTTGATACATTTATTTAGCTGATTTCTTTGGTCATTTGAACAATGACAAAGCGTAATACTTGCGTGATTTTTTTTTTTCTTCTTGGGAAATTTGGTCGAACACTCAACACGAATACAAATCAAGCTAACAACTTCTAGAAAGTTGAGATTTTGATATTCCTAAAATCCAAACTTAAATAATGTACATAGATTGTAATTTTTTGTCAAAAAATATTTATTTATATCACAAACATATTTTTCAGCACACTTTTTATTTTTCTAATTACCTTTTTATCTCACATATATCACATCATAAAAAGTATTACAATAATTATTATAAATAATATTTTAAATAGTTTCCTATCCAAAATAATCTCTTATCCAAGTGTTACAGTAATTATTTAAAATAATCTCTTATCCAAACATATATTTTCTGAAATTATGAGTCTGTTTGGATGACATGTTTATTAGGTGTTTATCTAAAATTTTATTATATTTATTTTTTTAAAAATACTGATATATGTCCAAAACACTCTTTTTTTTTCCAAATATCCCCCTTTTTACCTCGCGTGCTACTCGCCATCCACCGCTGCTACCGGCCTCCGCCGTCATTACCATATTTAGCTCTTTTTTTTTTTCATTTTATTAGACCTTCTGGGTATTTTTGTGTATTACTATAGATGCTGTTTTTTAAAATTTTATTTCCTAAAAAGTTACCGAATAGACCCTATGTTTAATTTTATATGTAATCCTATTGGTGGTTCCCAATTCGCTTTAGAACAATTTAACTTAAAATTTTATTTGAATATGTTTGACATTGATCAATGTACACTCTGTGAGAGGAGTCTTATATGGTATTTGTTTGGATCAGTGTATTTGAATTGACTAAGTTTCATATGCAAGTGAGATTGATCTACTTTCATGAGAATGATCGTGTTTCCAAAATTTATTGTTGATGTAAGAACTGTGTTGGTAAACGTTCTGTAAATAAGTTATTGTTTTAAAGATATACTTTGATATGTGATGGTAATCGGAACTGAATCCATCAATTTTATTTTAACATTTTACTACCAAAAAATATTATGACTTTGTTTTCTTTACCCAGAATATATATATATTTTAAAAAAAAAAAAAAAGACGACAAAGAGACAGAGAGACGGGGAAAGGACTGAACTGGGATTCTTACCATCAGCATCCCCTTCAATTCGCAAACTAATAGACAACACATAAAACTCAATTAGATAAATATACCAGCAACATATATGCACGAGATTAAATTGAAGAAAGCAGCAATTTAGGAAGCTAAAAATGTATCCCCTTTTGTTTTCTGGGTTTTTTTTTTTGGGTGGCGGGGAGGGGGGGGTTGTTAAGTAAAAAATTGGTAATAGCCAAGTGATTGTATTCAAGCAGTCCTTCAAGTTACACGAGTTCTTGGCCAGCGACGTCCACTAGAAAATAATCAGAAAAACTGGAAAGCATTCTGAAGTTTAATCTAAACAGAAATGCAAATTCTTGCACGAACATCAAAAGCACTGAACATAATAGAAGGGATAGATTTTAGAGCGAAGAAGTTTTACCATTTGGGCTCCATTCCTTTATTTCAGCAAATGCTTACATATCTAATCCATCTAGAAGCTTATATTGTCAACCCAAGAAGATTAGTCCATGGAAACTTACAGTAGCAGAAAAGAGATGATAATCACACAGTCCAACGGTGGCACTTCTTCTCCGGTGATGATTCTTGCTTGGAGCTGGCCAAACACCCTCGCAAACAACACCACCAAACGGGTTTGCTGTTAATGCGGAAGAGCATTGAAGTTTGGAAGAATAGAAGATTAAAAAGACGATTAGAGCAGCAAGTTCAGCCAAACGTTTTTAGTAAAAAATATTTGAGTGTGGTAGCTTGTTCCGTGGGCAATTTATAAACAGCACCAAACCAAGTACTGCTAGATATAAAGAATAAGAGCCACTATTTGCACTCCGATCCCTGAGATTTTCAATAATTAGAAAACACCACTCTATACCTGGCTCGACAGAGTACACATGACTGGTCCACCACGATTTTTCTTTTCTTTTCTTTTCTTTTATTTTTTCCCCACAGGCGATCGGTCCCCCATTTTGTGCCACGTATTTGGATATTTCGACTTGTTTAGTGGAAAAAGTCGGCAAGTAAACCTTCACTGGTAGTTTGGGAGTTGAGGATAGAAAAGAAAAGAAGAGAGAGGTTAAGTTATGAGAGAAAATAAAGCATAAGAAAAGAAGAGAAGAGATTTTAATGTTATTTAAAAATTTATGAAAAAAAGAAAATAATTTTGAACACATTGATCAATAAATATTCCATTCAATAGTTTTTTAAGAATAAAATAGACAATTTAAAAAATTTTTGTAGCCTTTCCATATTGTTTCTTTGTTTTCTGCCTGATTTGGGATGGAAATTTTTTTTAACTATAACGGGTCTTTTCTTCCTCCCAAATCAGTCAAATTCTTTTACTTTTTTATTTCACTAAAACTTTTAAACATGAAAAATACCTATTTTTCTCTTCAACACTTTTCTTTTATATTCAAATCTCATCTCCCAACCTAGGCATCAGAACTCAACCCCGAGAACTTTTTGTTTCCAAACAAATAAATATAAATATACAGCATATCTCTTGAAAGTCTAACATGGTAAATGATCATAAATAATTGTTATACAGCATAAATAATTGTTATTAGGTGTATAAAAAAAGCACCAACCAACCTAAAGAGGGAAGAGGCGTGGGGATTAGAACAATTTGAATTTCGACCAATTATAAACCAATGTTATAATAGTGACCTGCCTTCTGTCCTTTGTCCAAGTAAAGAGTCAGATAAACCGTGGCCCACTGGTCCATCCGCACAAGCGTATCGCCAGCTGGAACGCGACTACAAGATTGCCTCTTCTCTTAATTGACAATTTAAGCGATAGATTTTGGACATATTGCAGTGATTCGATCAGAAACATCGTAGTCCGCATAACTAACGGCACTCGGGCGGAGCAAATATCTCTCAGGGTGCAATTGCACATTTGCAGCCCCTCAATTTTTTTTGAAAGCTATAGAATGGCCTATAAAGAAAATCTAAATTTTTTTTAATAGCTTTACTCTATACACATTATCCACCTACTATATACGCAAGAATTTACATCTTGAAACCTCATGCATAATTTTAATTAATAGTATGTAATTTCATACTATTAGATAATTTGATAACTACTGCAAATAATAAATAACAAGTTGCAGCAATTTTCCAAAAAAAAAAAATTGTGTATTTAGAGCAAATATTTAGTTGTACTAAAAATTTATAAACCAACACGTTGTAAGTATAAACTAATGTTGTTATCCCTCGAATAAAGTTCCTGACTCAACCACTGGGTAAATCATAGCTATGGTAATTTTTTTATTTTAGTGTGTCAGTAACATCATTCGAACACGATAACATCATTCGAACACGATAATCATTTCTGTGCAATTTGAAAAATTTTCACGGATGACTTAATCTTACTTAATTTAGTTAATATTTTTAAAATATTAAAACCACAAATGTTCGATAAAGAGCTGCTAGTTATTTGCTTAGTTTCATACATATATACACACACACACACATAAACCTACAAGTGACACAAGTGTGTTTGGACAGGAGATTATTTGTCCAAATATATTTGCTTACATCACCATTACAATTTTCAATATATTTTTTTAATTTTTCAATTACTTTTTTATCTCATATACATCATATCACAAAAAGTGTTACAGTAACGCGGATTTGGTACCATTTTTAGCCGATAATGCGGTAGAGATTTTGTCAACCTAGATGAGTCATGGCTGACTGGATTTTAGATTTCCACGTCTACTAGTGAAGATTGAGGATCGCAGATGAACTAGCATCTCTTAGCTTATCGGCTACCAGAGACCTTGCAAGAGTAGGTGCCTCCACTCACGAGTGGCCGGCCCACGCCCATTATGTCCGAGCCCACCACCCACATTGAAGTATAAACTCAACCCGCCAGCCGCAAACACTGACGTGTACATAAACCCACCGGTTCTTTTCTTTTCTTTTCTTTAAAAAAAAAAAAAAAAAGAGATAAGGCCACCTTGAAATTTTCCTTTTCTTTTTTTCCATTGGCACAATTGTCCCATTAATTAATGTTACTCACGTCATGATTTTTTTATTTTTTTTTTTGTGTTGGTGCATCAGTAACATGATCTCTTCCACAATGGTTTCTCTGATTTATATCTGATTCAGCACTACAGGTTTTAAAGCTTGGGCATTGGATGGATGATGCTTAGCTAAAAAAGCTTTCCACCTTAAAAGCAAATTAGTAAAACTATACTAGAATGAAAATACACTTCACATCACTGGCACCAATTTCATCAACTAGTAGCCTGTTATTTCTTTTTTTCCACCAAAAATATGTTTGAATCAGAAAATTTTCTCACTCAGGATTTCAGTTGCCCTTCTTGGCTTCTGTGTTCAGGCCATATCCAAATGGGTACAACGGGTCATAATGTCTGTCCCCGACGTTCATGGGCAGTTGATCAACCGTCTTGAACCATGTATGAGGAAGCTTGCCCGTGAAACCATAGTCACCAAATAAAACATCAGCAACCCCTTGGCCCTCAGTTCCTGGAAGCCAAGCAGCTACAAGTGCATCAATTCGATTCACGTATGGCTGAATGACGACAGGCCGGCCGGTGATCAGAACTACAACGCATCTCACAGACCCACAAACGTTAGTAATGGTACTAGGGCCTGGTTCAGGAATCGTCAAGTTTAAGCTGTCCCCGACTGTTTCAGCATATGGTGGCTCTCCCACCACAACAACCGCATAGGAGAACTTGTTGGACTTGACGAATTCTGCATCAGGTTTTTCGCTGTACACAACTTCTGTTGTTGGATCAACTGCATTTCTTATACCAGTCAGGATTGTGGTACCTGTTTACCAGAAAAGAATAAGTTGGAGTCAGTTACCAGTACGAATAAATGCCATCACTGCTACTGCTATCAGCTAAAATGATAACCAAAGAACCTTTTGTGATGTTGCCGCTGAGGCCTTGCCACTCAATTGTCCACCCACCACATTGGTTACCAATATTATCAGCGTGGGTTCCTGCAACTAGAATGCGTTTCGCTTTCTTGGGGAGGGGTAGCAATGGCTTGGCTGCGGATTCGCCATTCTTCAACAGCACAAGAGATTTCCTCACTGCTTCTCTTGCCAGGTCTCTGTGCTCCTGTTAACGTTAAAAAAGTGTTTAAACTTGGGGCCAAGTGATCTCAACTTCTCTTTCATCTTTTCTATTCAATCCGCTCTTTGTAAATCGACACCCACTTACCTGCAACCCAACGTATTTGGTCATGCTATAGTCGGCCAATGGGTGCTCAAAGATGCCCATCGTGAACTTCACCCTCAAAATCCTCTTCACTGCATCATCAATTCGGCTCATTGGAACAAAATTGTTCTTAACCAGGAAGGTTAGACCATCAATGAATTCTGTATAGTTGTATGGAATCATCATCTGCAATATCCGGAAAATAACACAAGTCCTTCAGCATTTAGCAGAGTAGATTAATATTATAAGCTTGTTAAGCAAATCAGACTGACCATGTCAATTCCGGCGTTGACACCAGCGACAATTGAGTACGTGTAATTTGCATGAGGAGGAGAGGTAATCCTGTCAATGCCTTGCCAATCTGAGATGACAAATCCCTGAATAATAATTCAGAACTTAATTAATCCTGTGCTTGATTGAAGATGTCGAATGAGGAACTGGAAGCAGGAAGGAGTACTTTTTACTTTCGAAACTGATTAGTTTACCCGAAATCTGAGTGTGTTCTTAAGAAAACCAGTGATCATTTCACGATTAGCATGCATCTTTATTCCATTCCAGCTTGAATAGGAGATCATGACAGTCGATACACCCTTGATAATTGCATTATAATAGCCGGTCATATGGATGCTAAGCAAACCATGCCTGCTGATCACTGTATTATTCTCATTGATGCCTTCAGTCGTTCCTCCATCACCAACAAAGTGCTTAGCACATGCAGCAATGTTCTTTCTGCCAAAAAAAAGATTAATCAAGAATGCAAACTCCGAAGGTACAGGGTATACAATTTCTGGGAATTTATTATCTATTCCTAGAATAATATTTTAAAAATTATACAGATTTTAGGTCGAAAGGAGTAATTTTCATGTATCTTCTAATTGATACCGGGTAGAGCTAAACAACCTCCCAAGTCCAAGTTTTGAAGCTTTGAACGGTCAATTGCACTTTCTAACCTTTTTGTAGGCGTATGGTTAGATATCTTATTTACTAGTAGACGTTCTTTGTTACCCCTGTTTTAAAGTTCAATCTGGTCCACATCAGTTCTTGACGAAAAAAGCAAAAGCTAACATCCAACTGATGTTGCTTTCCCATGAATGCTAGCGTGCAATCTTCCATCAATATATCTCTTTCATCCCCTTGGAACAAGAAGATTTTAGCACCCAAAACTTGAATTTTAAGGATGGCAAATGTTGACTTTGGATTCTTGAAAAGGGCAACACGACTTGAATAGCTTGAATAAGACGAAGGATATTTCCAATTATCCACAAAAGGGCAGCTAATTGAAGTTTATGATATATTACTAGTACTTTTCACACTGGATCCAGGATTTATATGTGCTTCAGAAAGAAAGACATCGTTGTTCATTACTTTATGAATGAATCAAGAAAATGCTGGAATAAGAGGAATTTGCAATACGTACTGGCCAGCAAGATAAGGAACCCCTAAGCGGCCATTGGAAGGGATTTCTCCTTGTAATCCCGGGATAATCTCAGTCATTGCTCTCACAATTTTGGGATCTTCACTGTAGCTTTCATAACACCGGCCCCATCTGGGATCTCTGCAGACCTAATCACAGATCGGAAAGGGCACTTATTTTGATTGTTTCAATGTACTCTGAGCTGCATAACAATTAATGGATCACAGAAGGAGTTAAATTACCGCAATGCAAGGTGCAAAAGCATATTGAATGCCTGTAGCTCTCACTTCAAGGGCAGTTGCAGCTCCAATCTTCTTCACTAGTGCAGGGTCCCTGCTCAAGCCGGAAACTCAGAGAGTTTAATTGCCACATTCAATTAAAGATTCAATATTGAAAAGATAGATATCAAATTATGCCAAAAAGAGCCGTATTCCTGCTAAATCCCTCCCCGTCCTTCCCCCCTAGACAAGAACTTCATCTGCAGCTTTTTCATAAAACAACAAACAAAATAGTGGACTTCAGCTACTACAATACAAGAGTGCGTTTTGGAGTACTGACCAAATTATAAGCAAATAACTCACGTCAAATAATTGTAATGCGAACTACTAGCCTCCTAAATAGTGGTCGTAATCAAAGGAGATGTGGATTAATCTAGAAACTTAATCACAGCCAAATGGTCGTAATCAAATGAGATGGGGAGGTTGTTAGAATAGCTGGAAAGATCCATATACCGATAATCTACCACGTACAAACTTACCTGGTGGCCCCAAGACCAATATTATGAGGAAAAACGGTAGCCTTGTAGACGGTGTTGTGGCCATGAACAGCGTCAATCCCATAAATCATTGGTATCCCAAGACGCGTAGACAATGAACCCTTTTGGAAATCGTTTACCATGTCCACCCATGTCTCCGGCGAAGCCTGCTTAGCTGGAACACTCCCTCCGCCGCTCAGTACACTCCCTGCAAATAACTAACATTTTAATCCCAAAGAAAAAGAAAAACGACAACACATAACGAGCTCTTCTAATTAACTGTGACTAGTAGATAACAGAATCTAATCGCAAAAATCAGTTTTTTCAAACTGCAGATTATTGATGCATACCGATGTAGTACTTTTTCATGATCTCTCCGGAGGCGACACTACGATCTATCTGTACCATTTGGCCAATTTTCTCCTCTAAGGTCATCCTGCTCAATAAATCCTTAATTCTAGTATTTATGGGCTGTTTGGGATCCTTATAAGGTAAGTACTCTGCTTCTGCTTTCATGGCTGCACAGAAGCAGAACAATGCGATCCCAAAAGCCAGTAAGGAACCTTTCGCCATTTTGAGCCTCAGCATCACCTTCAACAGACAAAAGAGTACAGAAAATTCTATTAGATTCCAAGCATCCCATCAATAAATCTCACTGATGTAAACCGTGGCTTTGGAAAACGTTTAGATAACTGAAGTACAAGGAAGCAGCATTTTCCCAATTTTTGCTGTTTTAAATCTGGAGATAAACTATTCAAGTATTTGGAAGAGCAACTATTGGACAGGAGAATATCTTGGACAGTGGACACACGAAACATGAAACGTGAACATGTATGTCCGTGCGTTTGTTTGACGAAATGGACTTGTTAAAAAAGCGAGGACGAGTAAAAATGGAAATCCTGGGAAAGTATAAAAAAATTATCCATGTAACACTATGATAGTTAGGAAAATCAAGAAACACTTTTTTGGATAAACTATCAAGAATCTGGAAAAAGGAACCAAGAAGTCCCTCAAAAAAAAATGGAACCAAAAGTTTTATCTGAACGTATGAGATGCCCAGGAAAACAGTCCAATGCTGTTATAGAATCAGAGCCTACTGTCACCGATAGCCACTGAGTGGTGGTCTATGGCTGCCGATTCAAGGAAGGGATGGAACTTACAGAGGATGCAGCCAAAATTGGACCCCAGCACACCAACCACGAATATGCTTTTAGTAGTACAGTAGTGTTTCTTTGTCGCTGGTACGTAGAGAGAGAGAGAGAGATATACTATACAGCTGCAGATGAAATGGGATGTAGAGGGATGCCATTTATAGAAAAACGTTCTGTCATTTGATTGGCTTGGTTACCCATTGATGCGGAGATGCCCTCCATATTGTGCTGTAAAAGTCTGATAGTAAGTTTGATGCTAGGGTACTGAAATGCTGGTCCACGTACACTGCAGCCCCAAGTGAAGACAGTAATGGAACTTTGACGTATTTGTGAGGTAGGGGATTCAAACTAGTAACAAATTAATGTAAAATTAATTCAAAACGTATCTCATATTTTATTAAATAAATTTTTTTTAATTTTAAAATATTAATTTTACATTTTTTATCAATTTAAATTAATAAAATTTAGTTTCAACCCAAATTTTTAATTATCTTTTAGTCTAAATTCATCACGTAATCCACATATAGTTATTTTTATATACAAAAATGTTAGATCCCACTTTCTTTGTAGCAAAAAAATATAGATTAGCTCATATCTCATTTTTTTGAAAAAATATAAAAATGATTCAAGTCAAATCCTATTTTTTTTGAAGCAAAAGTGAATATGGATTAGGCTATTTGTTTAATTACAAATGAGATATAACCTTTTTGCCCCTTAAAAAATGACTATATGTGAATCATGTGATGAATTCAAGATGAAAAATGGTTGAAAACTTAGATTTGAATCAAATTTTATCGATTTGATTTTATAAAGATGTAAAATTAATATTTTTAAAGTGAATGATTAAAAATTTTATTTGACAAAATGTGAGAGACAATTTAAATAAATTTTCCATAACTGATTTACTTCTCTTAGTAACCGCTCTGTCTTGTACTGTTTCTTTTTTTTTTATATACATTTATTTAGCTGATTTCTTTGGGCATTTGAACAATGACAAAGAGTGACACTTACGGGTTTTTTTTCCTTGGGAAATTTGGTCGAACACTCAACACATGAATACAAATCAAGCTAACAACTTCTAGATTTTGATTTACATAAAAATCGAACTTAAATAATGCACATATATTGTAATTTTTTGTCAAAAAATATTTATTTATATCACAAACACATTTTTCAGCACATTTTTTATTTTTCTAATTATTTTTTTATCTCACATACATCACAGTATAAAAAGTATTATGGTAATTATTATAAATAATATTTCAAATAATTTCCTATCCAAACACACCCAAAACTATTTGCTCTTTTGTTTTCTGTTTCATCAATCATATGTCTGGCGGGAAAACACTCTAAAATTCTCTCAGATCTATTTATTATTGCAATAAATACCAAAATCCAATATCCCAGATTATATTCCTAATATCAATTTGGATTCTTCACTTTGGGCCGAATAAAATTTTGTCAACGGCCTAAGTAGTACTCATTTAGTTTTCTTTTTTATTTTCTCGGAGACAAAAAGAGTCCGCCCAAAAAAAAAAGAAGAAGAAAATAAAAATATAGTGGTATGAATCAACTAATGTCGGTGGCATTTTCTTTCGCACTTTTTTTGTTTTGTTTTTTTCCAGAGTAGAGACTACGAATAAACTCAAAATGACGACCCCCGCAGCGCTTAAGGTCAAATTCGTACTAGTATATTTGTCCAGTCCCATTCCTCCCCCTTAAACAATTCCAGGAAGCTTTTTAGTATTTATCTTCTTACGCTTAACGCGTTGGACCGGATAAAGTATGATTGGTCGCTGCCTCGCTGGTCAGCGGTCGTCACTGTTTCGGTTTTTTAATTTCAATTTTTTTGATAAACAGAAAAGCTTCTCCTTTGGAAATTGGAACATTTCTATGGAGTTTGCCTTCATCCCCATTATAATCTTTCCATTGCGTAAAGTGGACGGCATTTCATCTGGATCTCTGGCCCCGTCTCTTGGTCCAGTTTCACGATGGACAACATCATAATGTTGTTGATGAAAATATAAATACATCAATCAATGAATACCATTTTCTTTTTCTGATTTTGTTTTCTCTTTCTCTCTTGTCCGGTCAAAATTATTTTCTATTTTTTTACTCATATCAAGGACATGAGTGACTTAGTACTATTCGGATAGCCATTAGTTGGCTCCAAATTATTTACTTTTTAATATATTTTTTTATTTTTTAATCATTTTTTTTATATCACATACATCACATCACAAAAAGTGTTATAGTAATTATTTAAAATAATCTCTTATCCAAACACGTATTTTCTGAAATTATGAGTATGTTTGGATGACATGTTTATTAGGTGTTTATCTACAATTTTATTATATTTATTTTTTAAAAAATACTGATATATGTCCAAAACACTATTTTTTTTTCCAAATATCCCCCTTTTTACCTCGCGTGCTACTCGCCATCCACCACTGCTACCGCCCTCCGCCGTCATTACCATATTTAGCTCTTTTTTTTTTTCATTTTATTAGACCTTGTGGGTATTTTTGTGTATTACTATAGATGCTGTTTTTTAAAATTTTATTTCCTAAAAAGTTACCGAATAGACCCTATGTTTAATTTTATATGTAATCCTATTGGTGGTTCCCAATTCGCTTGAGAACAATTAAACTTAAAATTTTATTTGAATATGTTTGACATTGATCAATGGACACTCTTTGAGAGGAGTCTTATATGGTATTTGTTTGGATCAGTGTACTTGACTTGAATAAGTTTTATATACAAGTGAGTTTGATCCACTTTCATGAGAATGATCGTGTTTCCAAAATTCAATGTTGATGTAAGAACTGTGTTGGTAAACACTCTGTAAACAAGTTATAGTTTTAAGGATATACTCTGATATGTGATGGTAATTGGAATCGAATCCATCAATTTTATTTTAACATTTTACTACCAAACAATATTATGACTTTGTTTTCTTTACCCAAAAAATATATATATATTTAAAAAAAAAAAAGACGACAAAGAGACAGAGAGACGGGGAAAAGACTGAACTGAAGAGAGTAGCCACTGAAAAATCGAGCAGCCACTGAAAAACTATACCAAATTTTCGATGATACCATTCATGTGAGTAAGAAACATCGATAATGGTTGGGTAAATTACCGATCACGATGCTTATCCACTTGTTCCTCTTACCTCTGGAGTTATAAGTTATGACCAAATCAATATGTAATCAAAACCTTGTCCCTTGTTTTACTTGAGTTGTCTTCTTTCGGCGGCAGAAATTTTTACTTTTCTCGGTATAACCCACAAGCCAGTTGGGCAGATTGTTTTTGGACTTCAGAGAACCAGAGTGCACGTGTTGTCATTAATTACGAGAATAAAATTTTTGCTATAAATCATATTAATCAAGACATATCAATTTTTAAATATTTTCGCAACATTATTAATAAGTTTCGAAATGTCAGGAGCCTTATTTAACAATTAATTTAGAAGAAAGATGAATGTCCATTTTGAAAAAGACACTCGCCTAAGTAGTGTATAGTAACAGTTAATAGCTGTGGCTGAAAGATATATTATAATTGTTTAAAATAAATACAACAAAATTGAAAAGTTGATTAGAAATATGATACACAGAGAATATGAGTCTATGCATGATTAATAGCAAAGTATGTGAGCTCCAGTTAGAAAGGCTCTTTCTTCTTCAAAAAAAAAAAGACGCAACAAACCAGACGCAACAAAATTGCCACCGTGCCCGTGAATCCGTTTCACCATCATGCTTATTCGTTTTTGTATCTTTTCTTACGTCGCATTAACTACGATCAACTTAAAACTCAACGGCTAAAACTTCCCATGTGACGCTGTATATCTTACCACATCATAATTCATTTGCATTATTGTCGAAACAATGCAAAAGCGGACCAATTAATCCGAGTTTTTGGTCATAAGATCTTCCTGCTGAGGGACTAATCAATTGAGTCACCACACTCCTCTTTGCGTCTAATTTAGATATACCAGAAGAGCAAACAATTCTCTCATTATAATATAATATTCGTCATTTTTATTAGATATGGTGTATTTGTGACATGTCTGGCGCGGCAACCAAACCATCGCCCCAAAATCAGGGACACTTTTTTTTTTTAAGGACATCATAACTAGTGTTGCAAACGAATCGAGTTGAATCGAATTTTGGTCTAATCAAATCGAATTTCGACTTAGTGATGAACTCGTAGTTGGACATAGATAGAAGAAGATAAACAACAATTCATATTCTGAAATTGGCTTGCACAGTAGTCAAATACTGCAGTATTTTTGGTTAGCGTTATCTTTAGTTTAATTTCACAAGCAATACTACGCAGACGGCAAATTAAGTCTGGAACGTTTTTTTTTTATATATATATGGTTCAGCCGGATGGTAACATTTGGAGCTAGCTTGTGTATACCTCGCTTTTGCAAACTAATAATTGAATGAAGTTTGTTTGACAAAAAAAATCCCCTATAATAATTAGTAACTTACATGGGTACGGCAGAAGGCTTTCCTAGAATCACGACCCCTTTTTTTTTTTTTTTTTTTTTAATCGACACAGGGGTGTTCGGGTCAATTCTTACGGGATCCGACTAGGGCTGCAAACGAGCCGAGTCGAGTCGAGATTTGAGCTAATCGAGCCGAGCCTTGGCTAAATTTTATCAAACTCGAGCTCGAGCTCGACGAGCTGGCAATTTTCGAGCTCGAGCTCGACTCGAATCAAGTTGAGCCGAGGAGCTCGAGCTCGAGCTCGAAAAAAATAAAAAAAATTATTTTATTTAAAAATAAATAAATAAAATAATATTTTTTTCTGAATAAATAATAAAATATTAAGGATATATCAGTAATTTCACTATGAAAATAAAAAATAAAAAATATATATAATATAAGTAATTTTATTATTAAATAA